CAATCTTATGAAAAAACATCATAATATAATCGGTATTGTTTCACCAAATATTTTCAAATTTCGAGAGATAAAGATAATAAGTGAATAACAGAAACACCTTGTTATATAAATCTTAGTCACCAGACGACCGCATTTTTTTAGCCGGAATATTAAGATTTAGCGTGTTTGAAACACAAACTCTTTTTCAACATTAAAATACCAGACTTAACAACTTTAACTGTGCCAGAGAATCAGAGAAAATGTGTTATTTCTGAAGGTTCAAAAGCATGTAATGCTCTCCTTCTGTTGATCTGGCGTTAAGCCTAACATGGACGTCAAGTGAACTAAGGGAACAGTAACTCGCTAATAATTCAGTTACATAATACAATGTCTTTCCTTAAGGACAATACCAGATATAATATTACGTTATATTTAGTATATTGTATACAAACAACATAGCTATTTACAATAGAATGAGGGTAACAGACAAAAATGTATTTTAAAAAATAGCATTCAAGACATAAAAGCACTACGAATTGACTTTTAGTTGGACTGAAGCCAAACACAGTGAGGATTCTAATATGAAACGTTTAAACGTTTCTTCTGAGTTTTTACGTAAACAACTTTCTCTCCATCAATAAATATATATCAACAATTTCAAAATATTCATAAAATAAGATCTAGAGACGATAGGACGGATGTTGGACGGGTTGTTGTTTATAGACATATAGATTCATAGAGAGCTAACTACAAAACGATTTTTATGGGGTTTGTGTGTCGTTTTTAACTGATCCATATAACACCTTATAAACCCATAGATATTATATACGCAACACCATTATAAGAGGCCTAACTGTATTTCTTTGGTTTACCTATCCAAGCTGTGATGAGCCTCTCATAGGCGAAAATGCAGTCTACAGCAGAAGGCACGACCAATGAGAAAAAGCATTAGGCTTCTACGTCACTGACTTAAAAAAAAATACCTATGGTAAAAAAGAAATATGTAACACATATCTCGAAATCTTTACTGTTACGCAGTATGAAAAAAAGTCGAACATTTTAAACCTTTTTTTTAAAAAATTCAGTTTGCAATGGGAAATTGACAAAATTGTCAAGTTTGAGAACATCTTCGTTAATAAAAAATAATACAATATGATATACTGGTAATAACCCACTTTACTGTGCCTGTAATGCTATATAAAAGGTTTATTTTACAGAAAGGAAAGAGACCTGAGCATAAGGCTGTTTGTGACAGTGTCCGAGGAGAGTCAAGTCATTTTGAAAATGGCTTCATATATTAACAAAAGTCATCTTATGAAAGGAACATCTGATTATATATTTACATAACGATTACGGTTAAACTAACTTTTCAGGTTTCTTATCGCCCCTCTGATAAAACTGTGTAATCCTATCTATAATTTTCTATAATTACTTATATTCGTTTGTTGTTAAGTAGAAAGCTACACGGCGGGCTACCTGTGCTGTGCCCACCGAGAGTACAAAGAAAAAAACAATTTTTAGCGTTGTAAGCTCTCAGACATACCGTTGAGCCACTGGGAGAGAGAGAGAGCTCTTGTTAATAAACATGTTTAAAGTTTATTAAACAAAACGTTAATGTTTATAAACACTCTCTTCAACTTAGGATAAATTAAACGAATGCCAAACAAACTAATTGTGGCTAAGCAGGCGGGGGGGGGGGGGAAGGGGCTTTGGTTTTATTTAGAATATAACTTTATACCATAAGGTTAGTTAGTCTTTCACAAATATATTCTTTTACAAAATTATGTTCATTGCTTGTTCAGCATTACAGGAAATTAAAGCACAGGTGTAATTTATTTTCGCCGTAAAAAAGACAGTTTTAAAATTTAGACTATTACAGACAGAATAAAATACGGTTATTAACTGGAAACTCCAAAGATTGGAAACCTTTGTGTCTGTACCATTACATCTGATTAACTATATAATGTGTTAGGACTAGTAGAAATAACACGTGTTGTATAATGCCCAGTAAAACCCCTCAACTCGTTTACTTCTTAACATTAATATATATATATTCACACACGTGTCCAATGTTTGCTGTAATGCTGTCAATCAAAGTATAAACTCATAAGACCAACAATGTTATAGTTTTTAATACATTAAGTATTCCAATGAAAATAGCATAAATATTTCAATTCTATTTGCTGTGGATGCCTTATTCTATCAGTATGGGTGCTACATTTTTCATATCCTCCCGTTTATACCCAGCCTGGCATGGCCTCGACTCGCAATCTGAGGGTTACGAGCTCGAATCCCCGTCATCAAACATGCTTGCCTTTTTAGTCTTAGGGACGATATAACGTGACGGTCAATCCCACTATTTGTTGGTAAAAGAGTAATCCAATAGTTGGCGGTGGGTGACGTTGACTAGTTGCCTCCCCCCTTAGCTTATGGCTTCTAAATTAGGGACGGCGACGGATAGCCCTCAAGTAGCTTTGTACAAAATTCAAAACCAACCAACCAAATCCTTTATGCTGAGAAGATTTTGACAGTTAATCTTAAACAGAGACCAAAAAAAATTAGTTGCTTTTTTAAAAAATATTTATGTAAGTCTGTTAGAATAAAAGTAGCGTAAATGAATAACTTCGTAACTCTGCTAAAATATACATGACAAAATCATGTTAAAATATACATGACAGAAACATGTTAAAGGTTTGGTTTCTTTAGAATTTCGTGCAAAGCTACTCGAAGGCTATCTGCACTAGCTGTGCCTAATTTAGCAGTGATGGACTAGAGGGAAGGCAGCTAGTCATCACCACCCACCGCCAACTCTTGGACTACTCTTTTACCAACGGATAGTAGGATTGATCGTCACATTATAATGTCTCCACTAATGAAAGTGCGAGTATGTTCAGTGACAGGGATTCGATCTCGTGACCAGCAAATTGAGTGTCGAACGCCTTAACCAACAGACTATGCCAGGCCTTTAATTAACCCGATTTACTGCCCTAGAATTATCCAGTAGCGACCGTTTTTTTTTTTTTTTACTTTTGAGAGTCACGGGGTCACCTAAACTTCTCAATAGTTGCTTCATGACAGTTACATTAACACCCACGGGGTGCGGAAGGAGTCTGGATGTCCCACGTCACTATTTAGTCCCATTAGGTACTGGAAGTTCCGAAGTCAGAAATTGAACATTTAATGCATCAATGTAAGTGTTGTGAGTATAGCCCATTCTACGCGTGGATTCTCAACTTAACAAAATGTAGCGTGTATTCTACAATCCACCAAAATAAAGTCCAACTACCACAATTGGCAGAATCTGTTATTATAGGTCGAAAAATATTGATTAAATCAAATATTTTTTTATTTATTTTTGAAATTATCGGAAAAAGTTAGATCCAGTAAGATGACAAACTTAAACCAAAGTTCTAGTAATGAAATTGAGGAGTAAATGGCTGAATTTTAGGCAACTGTGTCAAATTTTTCTGGTTGCATATATTTCGGTTTCTTTATTTCATTTCATCCAACGATGGCTTAGAAAAAAAAATAATAATAAGCTCAACTGAATATAATAAATAACAATAAGGCCTCAACGCCTTGAAATTATATACAAGTTTGGATTTTTACTTACGACTCAAAAATCCGGGATTTGATTTGATTCCCCGCGGTGGACAAAGCAGACAGCCCAAGGTGACTTTGCTTTAAAACAAAACATACAAACTGATAGTAAATCTTAGAAACATGGGCGCTCGCAGGAAGGGGCAAGGGGGGTCATTTACCCCCCCCCCCCCCCGGAAAAAAAATTACTAGATATGTAAAATTATTCTCCTATGTTATT